AATCTTGCCTCTCCAAACACGATGAGGTTGTTGAAAAATCCATTAATTGACATTGTCCATCATAGCGTCTCTATTTGCCCGGTATTTTGTTGCTGAGGTGATTGATTAACTTGTTCCATCTTCTGTCCCTTCATGGTTTGTGTTCTGAGTCTGGCATTTCAATTGGGCAGATCACCAAAGAAACTTCGTCTGAGGTGTTCTCTGGCCAAATACTCATATACACCAGCAAGCACAGGGCCCAGCACAGTCCATCACCCGGTCAGCTGGTAGTTGCAAGTGCTAGGTTGGTTCTGTTTTCAGCCCCACCTTCTACTGGAACCAATGGTTGTTGCAGTCCAGCCTGGTTCTGTACAGCACATACTTGGTCTTCACCTAAACCAGTGGGAGCTGCATCCTGATGAGAGCGGCCCACAATAACCCCCACCAGGCCAACCCCCACCCTGGTTTGCCAATATGTGTGGCAGGCCAGTCCAATCTGACCCACATCCGCCTGGTTATCGTACATGGCAAATGGCATTAAAGCTTGGATCCATCTACCCAGCTCAACAGTCAAGCCTTCACGGGTGTGGTTGAGTGCCTCTCTGTCTAGCTACCCCAGCCCCTGTCGTAGTTCTCATGCCTTCCCGTGGCAGTGGTAACCCAAGAGGGGGGAACCCACTATTTCCCTCCCAAGTTTCTCACTCCCGGATTGTGCACTTTCCAGGTGGTTCTGCAGTTTAACTTGACAGGATTAGCCCCCAGTGCCAGTTTCTGCCAGCTGATGCTATGACTATGCCCAAACAGCCCTCTCCCATTCTAATTGTAGGTTGCACCCAAGGAACAATCAACCCATCCTGGCTTTTCCCTGGTCTAGTCCACTTGAGGCGCACAGGTGTTGTAGCCCTGCTTAGTCTGGTCTGCCTTCATCCCAGTTCATGCTCTCCAGTGGGAGTAGCTGTCCAGCAGGGGAACCTCCCCTTATTCCCCCGCTGGCTCTGTCCCCTCCCCTCCTGTTTCTCATGTGTGCTGGATGGGCACTGCAGTCACATCTGGAACAGTCAACCTCCTCCTGCCATTCTGTAGTGTGGACTGGTTTTTATCGCAACCAAACCTGGCTCGACGCTTACTCTGCTTCTGGGTCCAGCTCCATATCTGATTCCAATCTGGCTATTGCAAATACTTGTGAATTGAACCACCAGATGATTACAATTTAAAAGGATGTTGAGTTCAACAGTGGGTCTTGCATGGATGGACATCCTAGTAGCGTGGCTACTGCTTGGAAGAACCTGACCCAGGGCAGATTCAATATTTGGGGCCCCATACCCAGCCACTGTTCCAAACAATGTGGGAGTCCTGGGCTTGCCTAAGCTTTCAGCAGCTCAGATCTTAGACTCTGTTCACTGCCTGCATCCTGGTGGAACAGGCCCACATGAATTTGACCTCCAAGCTTGGGTGGATGAAATTTCAAGCAGGATGGAGGATACAGGGGTGCCTGAGTCAGGGCACACTAAATCCTGGGCTTGCAGGCAGCCCAGGAGCAAATGGCAGCAGGTTTCTTGCACTGTCTGACCAGCAAAAGCTCTGAAAAGTTAGGGGTAGGGCATTACTACATAGAGGCATCCATGGATAAAGCCACTGTACATGTAGGTGAGGAATGAATTGGAGGAAAATCCAACAATAGGGTCATTGTAATTGCAGGTAAACAAAGGGACTGAAACATGTTAATATGGAGTGGAGACACCAGAAGATTTGAATGGTTCAGACTGATACACCAGCCCACATGGGAGTGCTGAGTCAGGCTTTTTAGCATTCAGTAAGGCAGAGAATTACACACCACTCCAAACAAAAGTTAGGGCTTGGGACCTGGCTACCAGGATTAGATTCCAGTACCTAACTGTGCATGTTAGAAAAGAAAACAGGTCACATTAGACAGGGTCATGACACTAACCGAAACATTAGGGAACCAGATCCAGGGACAGATTCTCAGGAGGATATGTCTACCAAATCTTGTGGAAATAGAAGTCTTGCCACACTCATGGATATAGGGATTGAGCATACTCTAGGCAGATCATGGCTGCAGTACCCACATTTGCATCCTAAACCAGGGTGTAGGGCAAGCTAGGTTGCAACATGTACCAGCTCATGCTAGGCCAAGATGGAGGGGCAGGCTATGCCAGGCAAAGGCTTAACATCTACTGCCACTCCTGAGATCTGAGTCTATGACCAAGAAAGGGAACTTGGGAAACCACCCTATTAAGTCACACCTTATACTGGAGAGCATGTTGTCTAGGCCTGGGGACGGGCAAGCTGAGCAAGGTATCTCTACCCATTGGCAAGTGTGTGGGACAGGTCTGGAATAGGAAGGACCATGTAGGGACAAGCAAACCAGGCTGGAGTACAGGTCATGCCAAGCTAGGCTATCATACCTCCTAGTTTGCATGGACCAGGGGTGGGACAAAATGAGCAGGGCCAGGTTAAAGCACCTGCCAGCAAGAGCTGGGACAGGGAGTAGACTAGATCAGACCAGGCTGCAGCCTTTAAAGGCAAAGGCCAAGACATGTGAGGAACTATGCCAAGCTGGATCAAACACTGGTATACGCAATATCAATGGCTGGGATCAGACCTGTTTGGGAAGCTCAGAGGATGGCCAGACTGTGTTTTGGTTTCCATTGGTGAATGTAACAGCTGAGTTGGGGCTACTGTCCAGTGTAGGCATGGCTGAAGTGCTCCTCAGCATAGGTGTGGACTGGGTATGGGGTATGACAGATTGGGCTGGACTCAAGCACCCAAATGTGCTTGTGCAAGCCAAGGTATTTGTAGGAAAAGCTGGGCAGAATCTCTGCCCCTAAGGAACTATGTGTGAGCTGTTTAGGTGTGGATCATGCTTGGCTGATCTTTGACACCCAACAGACAAACCTGGAATGTGTGAAGGCCAGTCAGGAAAGGCCACTACTCATGCTAGGACAGGAGGTGAACTAAGTAGGTTGGCTCATGGATCCTACAATGAGTGTGAGATCTAGAATTAGGCAAGGTTCTGATGGAGGAGATTCAGCAACTCCTCTGTTGGAACACAGTGCCTGAACATGAGCACAAGAACCACAGTAGTAGCAGCCCAGGCTGGGTTGACTGTTCCTACTGTTTTAAGCACAAGCCAGTGTGCGTTTGGGTTGGTTGGGCTTTAGGGTAGCATCAGCCAACAAATTCTGTCAAGTTAAACTGCAAAACCACTGGGAGAATGCAAGACCCTGGGGCAGAAGTGGATCCAGTAAGGAAACAGCTGGCACATCCGTCTCGGGTTACCATTCGCATTGGTGAGCATTAGAATCAGAATTGGGGCAGACATGGCTAGACAGAAGGTAGCATCCACCAGCTTGTGTGTGAGTGGGATGGTGCGCTGGTGTGATTGAACCGGGCTTCAATGCCCATTGACATGTATGAGAACTGAATGGGAAGTGAGATAAGCTGGACCAGTCTACTTTACAACTAGAAAACTTAGGAACCAAGAAAGGAGGCAGTATTTGTAGGGTTATTGCAGATTGCTCCTGGTCTGCAGTTCCCACTGGTGTACATGAAGGCCAGGTGGGTGGTGAGCTGGATTAAGCTGGGCTGCTACACTTACTGGTTTGCATAAAAGAACTCCCTTCAGTTGAACATAAGGAAAAGATCCTTAAATGTGCATGTGAAAAAATCACCTGACATAGAGAAGAATGGCAATTAAATTCACAGCAGAACTCTCACAGAAAACTCTACAGGCCAAAAGAGAATGGAGCAACATACTCCAGATTCCAAAACCAAAACATTGTCAGGCCAGAATAATGTATCCAGAAAAGTATTCCTTTGTAAATTGAGAGGTCCAAATATTCACCCATTCATATTGACCCTGATTGTCAATGGAATATACTCATCAATAAAACATCATAGATTAATGGAGTGGATTTAAAAACAAAACCCATCTATTTGTTGCCTACAGGAGACAATTTAACCAACAAATATCAGCAAGAAATGTGATAATGGATTTTGATTCTTTCTTTGCTTTTTCATATCTTCAGAATACTTTTTTGGATGAAACATTCAATGACTCACAGATCATATAGTAGCATGATTTTCTACAAGAAAATTCTTGATTTTCATTTATTCAATGACACATTCATCATTCAGTCATGTGACATTTAACTTTATGGTGTTGATAATTTCTTTCTCTCCCTCTCTCTCTCTTTTTCTCTCTCTCTTTTGTAATTTGCCTTTTTATTGAAATGCATGTGTAGTAACTGTATAATGGAGACTATCAGACCCAAATGTGAGGATACAATGCAGTATGCATCTCTACTTCCAGACAGAGATGTACTCCCACTGAAACTGTTTACTACATCTTGGGATGTTGGACTCTCTGCCATTTTCCATGTCTACAATGATATAGATATGACTGTGTATGATGAACTACACTATAGTCATGTCATTGGGGGAGGTTGGAGGTGGGAGGGTATTGGGGATAAGGCAAATCCCAGGGCCTTTGGAAATGCATCATAAAGTGATAACAATAAAGAGTAAAATAAAAAGTAGTCATTCTGGAATTCTTGAGGAGGCTTCACACACAGTGCACAAGAGGATGCAAAATATGAGCTTTTGGTTCTCACTGATTCAGTATGATAGATTCCCATTTAAATGGCAGGAATGAATTAGAAGCATTTTAAAGAAATTGGCATATTCAATGGATATTTACTGGAAAATAATAAACATGAACCATATAGAATACAACTGACATTACTGGGCAAACTAATTTATTCAAATCTATTTTAGCGTTATTGACAAACTAGTTAGAATAGTTATGGTGTGTTCAGCTTAGGCATACGATGAGAGGACTAAAAGAAGAGGGAGAGAGATGATCAAAAACAACCAGAGGCTGAGTCTACATATCTGGAACTGATTTACTCAACTCCTCTGTGTTACACAATAGACAGAACTCTGCAACACAGATGGATCAAATTGCCCATTATCTGTAATCCTTCCTTTTTTACCACAGGTCGGTTACAACATTATTTCCAACTATTATTAGCAAAATACATTGAGGTCTCTTGTGTTTTGAGTACAGCTTCCATGAAGAACAAAGGCAAAGTCTACAGGATAATCAAGCTTCATGTACAATCCCATCTCTTGACATGACCTTTAGAATAACGGGCTTCTCAGGCTTGAGGAGTCCTTGTGGGGCTAGTTTAAGCGGGAACTGAAATGATGAAGTAAGCATGCTGAGAAGCAAGAAATTAAGCACCACCCATAGCATCAATAACAACAGCAATAAACATACTAAAAAATGTAAACATCATCCGTAACATATGGTTAACCCATCTAGAAAAGTCACATGAAGTTAAGTATTCTGTGTTGAAATCTACTCTTGAATGGGTGATGCACATTTTAAGTGTATGAATAGTTCTCAAATTATGGAGAAGTCAATTCCAAGTAGTGATGCAAAATAAAATATATGCTTTTTGTTTCTTACTTTCCCTTTTGCCTTCCAACTGCAATGTAAATGGCAAATAAGAAAACTCTGATGTTCTGAAGAGCTTTCATGAACCCTCTTAGCTTCATTCTCAATGAATCTTTCATTCAGTGTGCGGATTCATCCAATTGTTCTCTCAGTAAAGAGAAGTACAAGCAAATCCTCATAAACTTGAGGAAGTGCCAGGATGAAGTTGACTGGAAGCCTGCCAAGAAATAAGAATCCCACACCAAGTGTAACAGAGACCTGCTTTCTCTCAGGGGTGACTCCATTTCTTCAAACACCTTTAAACTTATGAGCTGATTTTCAATTGGTGGCCAATTCTATTCTCCTAGGTTTCTCAGCAGAAACCATACTAAGGAGATGAATATTAAATGCCACTTAATCGCTAGAAATAAGCTTCTTAGAGCCTTCCCTGGTAGGAATGAGTGAAACAGTCATGTAAACTCCTCACATGACAATTCCAGGAAAAGATGAAAAAGACTAAAACTGGACAGGTCCTGACAACCACTGGAACTGGGATTACTTAACAGCCATTCCACACAAGTATATATCTGTTCGAGTATTGTTACTCCATTTTCATGGTATTAACAGTTCACATTTGAAGATGAAATCAAGAGGGGTATAAACACAAACATGCTGGGAAAGGAAATAGAAGCACTAAATCAAAGCTAATTATACAAAGGACAATATTCACTTAATGGTTACAAAAATATGTACTTCAAAGCATCAAAATATAACTCTTAACTTGCCGTATAAGGCATCAGCAAATTCACAGAATAGTTCTCACCTATCTTTGTCATCACATTGGAGTTCTGAAACAAGCCCTTCAGAAGTGATTATAATAATCAATATGATGAGCAATTGAAATTCACAGATTCTGTTATACAGATTCTCATGTTATTGGATATGGAGGTAAAAGAACATATTTTATAATATAACATGTAATCATTTAAAAATATTAAATGCAGTCTTGTACTTTCATAGAAGACATACAGGGGTTTCAAAGTAATTTTAAATCCAAGTCAAATCATTCCTTAAACAATTTTTTGCATGCTGTCTGTGGGATGAGTCCCACAAAAATACTATTGAAGGTTTATTCAAGGACAAAAGTGACACTCAAGAGTGTAGATTTGTGGAGGCATTCAGAGATGTAGGAAAAACAAAATTAAGAAAAATGCTGCAATGACAAAACATTGTATTATAACACTACAACATTCAGTTTTTTAAAAACCTGCCAGAAAAAAACATTCTCACTACATGAAGTGCACTAACCTGGGTTTCCTTACAAGGCTTGAAGGAGAAGTTCTGCATTAATCTGATCAGAGCAAGTTTCATGTTCATGAGGCCAAACCTCACACCAATGCAATTTCGAGGACCAGCTCCAAAGGGAAGGTATATGTAAGGATTGATGTTGTCCTTGTTTTTTTTTTTTGAACCTGGTTCCACAACAGAAATGAAAATACATTAGTGATGCTTAAAAGCATCTATTTGGAGTTGTCAAATACATCTTTCACATAATTGTGGGTTGGCCATTCAAATCTTACTATTATTGAGCTTTAAGAGTTGTAAATTAGAGAGCTTTCCAAATATCAATTACCCTAACTCTAGAGAAGTTTTCTTTCTTGTTGATTAGATGATTCGAGTGCTGTTTAAAAAGACATTTAGCTTAACACCTTAAAATTACATTGAGGGTGTTGATGAGTTCACATTCTGTAATACATATGGGAAGTAAGGATAATGGAGGGGAAAGCAGGTTCCTGCTTCAACTGACAACCGTATCGACATATGTTAACTGAGGGAGAAGATGATGCCTTCTAGTATCTAAACAATTCTTCTCCTCATTTTCTCTCTTCTCCAACCTCCTTCCAACCTGTCTTCCTCCTCATTCCCTTTGAGCTTTCCTTCAATTCACTCCTTCTCTTTCCAAATTCTCCATCAAATACTCTTTGTGATTCTCCCAAGCAGCACAGTACTTCTCCCCTACCATAATTAAGTGACATTACTGAGATGACATCTACTCTACTCTAATAGCATCAGTTATTAGGGTATTAGTAAATGCTTTTATGTCTCTTCAACCAGGCTATAAATTATTTGAATATTAAAGTTATTCACAAAATTTTTGGATAGTTGATGGCATTAAGAAAATAATGTTTATACTGGCAAAATGATCGTGAAATATAGTACTTTGACTTTAAAATAGTGCTACAGCTTTGTAGAATATTCCTAAGTTTCTATAGGATGTTGTTTTTAAAACATTTTTTATCATTTGTATTGGAAAGTCAGATACACATATAGGAGGAGAGAGAGAGAGAGAGGAAGATTCCCCATCTACTGTTTCACTCTAAAATTGGACACAATTGCAAGAGCTAAGTCAATCCAAAGCAGGAGCCAGAAAACTCCTCCAAGTATCCCACACTGGTGCAGGGTACAGACACCCTGTGTCATCCTTGATTGCCCTTTGAGGCCACAAGCAAGGAGCTGGACAGGAAGCAAGGCTGTTGAGTCACTAACCAGCAGCCACATGGGATCTTGGTTCATGAAAGGCAAGGGAGTCAGGCAGTAGGCCAATGAGCTGGGTCCGTATAGACTGTTTTGCCCAAAATACCATATCAATAGACATAGTGCAGTATATGTTTTACCCCCAATCACCTATCAATCAAAGCAATATAGTATGTGAGAAATCTGACATTTATTGTGGGTACTGTGACAAGCATTAGGCATATGCAGATGCATTAGAATTGTCCCCAAAACTTGTATCTGTCTGTTACATATGGGGATATTTCAAACATTCTCCAGAATCCACATTGATAACATCTAGATTTGACACTGCCTGGCCCGATCAATGACACCTAAAGCTTGGTAACTAGAATAATCAAAGATAATCCTATGGATTTGCCACTGAACATGAAAGAAGCTAAAGAAAGTAGAGATCTGATTGCAGGAAACAAACAATTGATGGTTTTGAAACCAAAAGGCTATATGAACACAAAATTAACTCATTATTACACATGAGCACCCTGTACCACCAGTAGGGTAAACAAGCCCACAACACAGTTTCTGTCAACAGAAAGTCCATCTGCAGGTGATAAAAATATCTGCATCCTGGGCCTGGTGTCTTGACCTAGAGTCTAAAGTACTCACCCTGAACATGCTAGGATCCCATATGGGTGCCAGCAGCTCCATTTTACATCAAGCTCCCTGCTTGTGGCCTGGGAAAGCAGTCAAGGATGACCCAAAGCCTTGAAACCCTGCACCCATGTGGGAGACCTGGAAGAAGTTCCTGCCTCTTGGCTTTGGATTGAGGCAGCACCAGCCATTGCCCTCACTTGGGGAGTGAATCATTACACCATCAGATGGAAGATCTCCCCCTCTGTCTGTCCTCCTCTCTGTATCTCTGATTTTGCAGTGAAAATAAAATAAACCGTTTTTAAAAAAGTCTGCAGCCCAAGATTTCTGACTTGCCGTCCAGTGCTCTACAAATTCTTCAATCATTTTTCCTTATTAAAACAACCTTGGTAGTCAATTATCCATTTCAAATTGTACAACAGAATGACCTATATTGCTAGTTCCGTGAATAGCAAACAGGCTCAAGATCTGGTTAATTCACACTGGAAAGAATCACTCACTACTAAGACAACATGTGAGTTGCCAGAGAATGGCAACCGGAACCAGGATCAGGGCACACAGACTATCCTCTGTCCTGACTGACTCTTCTGTCCATCAGCAATGAGGACTTCTCCTCAGCACAGCCTCTGGTTTTACAGTTGTTCTAAAGGAAGAGGCCATCAGATGCAAGGTAGATAGCTTTTCCATATATACTGAGATTTTAGAGAGACAAAGAAATTACCGTAGCAAAACTGGAAAGAATTTTTAAAAGACTGTACACCTAAAATAAGGTAGCAGTTACTAAAATACAGTTAAATATAAATGTCACCAAAACTATGTGAGTTTTTATATGTATATACTGTCTATGTGTATCAGAAGAAGACAATATCCAGGATCACAACCAATACACAATCCACACACTTAAGTCCTGAATGGAAAATGACACAGAACTTTCAGTGATCAAAATAGGTCTATGTGGCCCTGAGATATAAAGGCCAATGGGTTCAGGCAAGATCACCACCAAAAACATCCTAGCAACTAGGCCACATTGTGTCTCTCTAATCTTGGGACCTGTTCTAACCGGAAATGGGAGAAAGGTGGTACAGACAATAGTGTACTCTCTGCACAGTATCACAAGTATCACAGGAGTTAGAGTTTGGTGAGCCAGGTCCTGGAGCTATGGAGAAAATGGTAGAAATCTGACATAAGAACCCAGTCCTTGAACAACTACAAACAAACAGCAGTATGCCAACTGCAATAAGTAAATTCTGATTGTACACATATGGGTGAAAAAGCTTAGAAACATGCCACACGGAGAAGAATCTGCTAACGAGGCAGACAATGACCAAGACCAAAAGAAAAGACAAAGGTACAATGAATATGAGTAAAGACTCCCCTGCATTGGAGAAAAATATTTTCCAAATTCAGAGTCCACTGAGGAAGACATTGAGAAAATGAGGCATACCGAAGTCGAAACGCTTGTTATAAAATGTCTTATCAACAATGAGAAGCATGTGAAGCAGGCATTCAATGAAGATATCATACTGGAAATGAATCAAATAAAAGGTGATGTGTCAAAAATGAAGAATACAGTGGAGCAAATCACAAGTGCAGTGGAGTCTCCAAAATAGAATGAAGGTGGCAGAAGAATTTATCTCAAATGTAGAAGATATTTTCTGTTGCCATGGGGAAACAAACCTACAGCTGGATGCAGAGCTGTATCAGTAACAACAATAAGAGAAAAAGCATTGAAGAATTGAAAGTCACTATTAAAAGGCCAAGTATAAGAATAATGAGAGTTCCAGAAGGTGCAGAAAGAGAAGCTGGGATTAAAGGTATATTCAACGAAATCAAGAGGGAAAATATTGCTAATCTAGAGACAGAATTGGGAAACAACACCAAGGAAGGGCATAGAACTCACAACAGGGTTGACCAAAAGGGATTTTCACCACAAAACTTGATAAACAAGCTCACTTCAATTGGACATAAGGAAAAAAATCCTTATATGTGTGAGTAAAAAAAAATCAACTGAAATATAATGGAATGCATATTAAATTCACAAGAGACCTCTCAAAGAAATCTCTACAGGCAAGAAGAGAATAGAATGACATATTCCAGATTCTCAAAGCAAAATATTGTCAGTAAAACTTTCCTTTGTCTTTGAAAATGAAATAAAATTCTTACACAATAAAGAAAATTTAAGAGAATATGCCTCTAAACCTGCCTTACAAATGATACTTACAGATATTCTCCTGACAGAGAAGGAATATCACCAATCAAAAACAAAAACAAATGCAAGACCATCTCAGTAAAATAACAACAAAAGTTTAAATCAATGAACAACTGATTTTTAAAAAGATTTATTTATTTATTGGAAAGTCAGATACAGAGAGGAGGAGAGACAGAGAGGAAGATCTTCTGTCTGATGATACACTTCCCAAGTGAGCCCAATGGCCAATGCCATGTCGATCCTAAGCCAGGATCCAGGAATTTCTTCCAGGTATCGCACACTGGTGCAGGGTCCCAAAGCTTTGGGCCATCCTCGACTGCTTTCCCAGGCCACAAGCAGGGAGCTGGATAGGAAGTGGAACTGCTGGGATTAGAACAGGCACCTATCATGGGATCCTGGCGCATTCAAGGTGAGGACTTTAGAAAGTAGGCTACGCCGCTGGGCCCAAACAACTCATTGCTAAATGACAGAACCAAAGTCCCATCCATTCATATTAACCTTGAATGTCAACATCTTAAACTCATCAATCAAACATCATAGATTAGTAGAATGGATTAAAAAACAAAGTCCATTTATTTGTTGCCTATGAGAGACACGTTTCACCAATAAAGATCAGCAAAACTGTATCTCATTGTTTTTGATATTTTGTTTTTAGTTTCATCTGTATGAAACAGTTTTTTTTCTGATTAAATTCTTCAATGAATCATAGATCCTACAGTAGCATGATTTTCTTCAAGGTTCTTGATTTCCTTTTTCATTTCTTCAGCAACACATTATTCATTCAGTCACATGTTATTTGACTTCATGGCATTGCTGATTTCTTTTTTACTTCCTGTTGTTAGTTTTGCTTTCTGACGGTTCACTTATGCGACATATAGTAACTGTGTAATGGAGACTATCATGTCTAGCAGCATGCTATTCAACTTCATGTATTTTGAATTTCCTTTTTTTCTTCCTATTGTTGATTTTGTTTTGTTTTGTGATTTTTCATTTAAGGGGACATATGGTAACTGTGTAATAGAGACTGTCATATCTAATAGCATCTTTGTAACTTCATGTTGCAAATTTCTATTTTTCTTCCTGTTGTTGATTTTGTTTTGTAGCTTTTCATTAAGGGCATGTGTAGTAATTGTGTAATGGAGTCTATCATACCCAGATGTGAAGATACAATGCAGTATGCATCTCTGCTTCCAGATTAAGTTCAATTCTCCATGAAACCGTTTACTATATCTTGACAATGAGATGCTGGATTCTCTGCCATTGTCCATGTTTCAATAGTAGACATATGACTCTGTGTGAAGAACTATACTATAGTAATGATATAGGGGAATTCAGTGAGGGGGCAAGCATTGCGGAGGAGATAAGGGAAATCTTAAGGGCTTAGGGAACTGTTTCATACAATGATAATGATAAAAAGATGTAAAATTATGAAACTCATAAAACGATAATAAAAAGTAAAATTACAAAACTAGTGATTCTGCTATCACAAGTTCTTTGTTTACTCAAAGACTTAAGAGATATGCTTAAACCAGCCTGATTCAAGGTGTTTTCCTCTACCTTTCAGGGCGGAATTCATAAGGGTATGTCCAGTACTTCGAATCATAGTGAAGGGCATAGACCGGAATTGCCACAATTGTCCCTTTGGGAATGAATACTCCATTGATTTCAAAGTCTTTCTTACAGACTCTTTCAAATCTGCTAGAATTTGGGTATAATCTGAGACTTTCATTCACCACCATGTCCAGATATTCCATCTGCATGATGACATCATATGTGATAAGTGCCTGGGAAGATAGAAACAGATTTTGAGGAAATGAGATTTGAAATTAAAATAGTTGTGCTCATCATCCTGTTCAATAGGCAGTGCATTCAGATGTGGTAAGTAGTTGTAAAAGGGGAAATTTTAAGGACAAACCCCTAACCAGGGCCAGAAATCCTCAATGTGTTCTTATAATACTCATATTGTCTCATGTGTATGAAAGAGATACATATTTGGCACACCATGGTTGCTTAGTGGCTAAAGAATTCACCTTGCACCCACCGGAATCTGATATTGGTGTCGGATCTAAAACAGTGGCCTCACTCTCATTATGTTCTCTGCATATGGTCTGCAAAAGCAGTCAAGGATGGCCCAAAACCTTGGGACCCTGAGCCCAGATGGGAGAGCCAGAATAAGTTCCTGGCTCCTTGGTTTGTATTGGCTCAGATCTGTTTGTTGCAGCCACGAGGGGAGTGAATCATCAGACATAAAATGTTTTTCTCTGTCTCTCCTGCTCTTTACATATATGGCTTTCCATTAAAAAATATTAAAAAGGAGAGATGAACAGAGTAGAACACTGCGCTCAACAAAAATATGCAAAGTCAATATCACCTTTCAAAAAGAGGCTACAGCTTTGCCAACAAAATGGGATGTGAAAAGGAGAAAATTCCTTACACTGTCTGGCTTCATCCTGATGCCACATTGGTCATTGTGGACATAAGCAGAGTGACCAGAAAATGCAAGATTTTTTCTGTCCCTCCTCTTTTTCTCTTTCTGTACATTTTTTACATATACTTTTTATTGCATTTAATTTTATAACAACATTTCATGGGTTCTGATGTTCTCCCTTTCCCTCCCCTTGCCCTCCTCCCATGGTGGATTGCTCCACCTTATTGCAGTATTACTGTTCAAATCTAGTCTTGTTTCTTTCAATGCAAGCATGTGCCTTGCATAGTGTCCAGTATCTGTACATTTGACTCTCAAAAGAAACAACAGAAAAAGAAACCTTTCATTTGAAAATATGGACCTATTAGCGCGCCCCTCCCCCGATTTTTTTTTAATTCATGTAAATGTGGCAACAAATTCAGGTCAAGTGAGAGTTCTATACAGATAGGAAAGCACCTCTTCTTTGCATACTGTTTCTAGAACAGTTTCTCAGGCATAACTTCAGTCCTCAACTGCAAACTAGAAGGTGATCCTGCTGTTTATCTGGACGTAAAACAGGCACACCACACTAGATTCCAGGCTTCTTTACAATCAAGAGCAGACATGCTGGATCATCTCTTGTCTGCTTTAACACTAGTGGTGTGATTGGAGAATGAGAATGGCAGGAAGAAGAGCAGAGTCTGCATCCCCATGCCCATCCAGACTAGCCCAGGCCTTCCTCATTCATACAAAGCTCAAAAAACAATATTCAGCCAATGGAAGCAAAGAAAGTGACGTCAGACTTGAGTAGCAAAGACTCCTACTAGGTGCTATTGTGGATTCTTGTAAAACACACATAAGCCCAAAGATCATTCTCACAGCTGTCCTTGTTCAGTGAGTTGCAGCTTCAGACTTGTTTCTCCATGTGTGTTTTTTTTTTAAGCTTATTCCTTTTTTTGCCAATGAAGTATCCTCACCACACACTTTGCAAGCAGTCCCCTGAATGGTGATGTCGAGGCATTCTATCAAGACACTAACCCCTGCCCCACAGTGCACCCATCCCAAGTATCACTCACTCACGCACGCACTCACTCACTCACTCACCTTATTGGAAAAAGCTGAATCAACCTCCTGCTGCAGTTTCTGCTGGACATCAGAGTGAGTGGCCAATAAATACATGATGAAAGTAAGAGCATTGCTAGTGGTCTCATATCCAGAAAAAAAGAAAGGTGATCGACTGGGCTACAAGTTCTGCATCAGTCAGAGCTATAAAGGGAAGAAAAACATTTTAAGCAGATCAGTATAGGTCACATGGAAACCGGTGTTTTAGTACATACATTTAAGTTACTGCCTGCAAAGACAGCATTGGATATGACTGCTGGATTCAAGTCCAGGTTTCCAATTCCAATCCCGCATTCTGTAAATAATTCTGGGAAGGAAAAATGATGACTCAACTACTTGGATCCCTGACATGCTAAAGAGATTTCAATGGATATCCATGCTCAAGGATTATTCCTGCTTTGGCAGCCATGTGTGTAATCAACCAGTAAGGGTAGAATGCTCACTCTCCATTTCCTTCTGTAATGCTTATTTTAAATAAATGAATGTTTAAAGAAACAAAATTATTACATTAAATTTCAAAATTCTTGTAGGAAAAAAAATGTATAAGCACCCAGCACACTGGCTCAATTTGCTAATGCTCTACCTTTCCATTACCAGCATCACATATGTATGCCAGTACATCTCCTAACTGGTCCACTTCCGACCAAACTCCCTGCTTACAGCCTGGGAGAGCAAGAGAGAATGATCAAAGCCAAGGGCCCATGAAACCTGCATGGGGGCAAGGGGAAAAACTCTTGGCTCCCGGTTTCAGATCGGTTGAACCAGTGGAATGAAGATTTTTCTGTCTTTCCTTCACTCTTTAAATCTGGTCTGTAGGACGTTTTAAGATGGCCAACGTAGGAGGAAGGCTATGAGGGAGCTTCCAGTGAGAGAGGGATAGAATGCTACAGAAGCAACAAAGAGGAACAGCAGGGAACCGCAGGGAGAGGTGCGTGAAGTTCCATGGACAGTGTGGAGCCAAAAGGATCCACACAACTCGGAAGAACAACGAGAACGAAACAAAACAAAGTTAGAGAAGCCGACATCCCACTCCAGACTTGCTGAGTCACCTTTGAAAACAGCCCGACAGGAGATGCAGCAGACCCAGAGACAAGGAAATCGGGAGGGATCCTCACCGGCAAAGGTCTTCAACAGCAGCAGAGGCAGACTGCAACAGCCAGAGGTTCGGTGAGCCAGGGAAGGGTTAACAGCCTCTGCATTCCTCCCCCCCTGCAGAGGCTGCAGCCTCTGAGAACACAGGGCAAGCGCCTTGAAACTGCCAAATCTGTGCCTTGGGAGTGGGGGCTGAGAAGGCAGTAAGAAAGCGCCCCAAATATTCCTGCGCTGAGTGGCCCAGCGCATCTCAGTGCGCAGAAGCTGCCAGCGAGGGTCTGGAATCCCCCACACCCTGTTACCCTGTGGGTGGGCGACAAAACAAGGAGGACTCTGAATGCCGCGCCGGGCGGGCTGGGCGGCCCCGCCTGCAGCAACCGCCTCCACAGCGCAGAGCAGGAGTCAGGAGGGCTCTGAGCACTGGGAAGTGTAGCGCTATGTGTCCCTGACACGCAGGTGCCGCTCTCATAGTGTGACTTGCCCACTCCTCGCCTCCCTCCCCGCAGTTCTGAGCGTGGGAGACCCACCAGGAGAGCTCTGAAAACTCCTGTGCCACACTGACACTGTGCGAACCCGCCGTGAAGTCATTTTAACAGGGCGCCTGGGTCCTCCTCCTCTACGGTCCTGTGTGGGGGAGCCACACCGGGGGGGGTGGCTCTGAACACCCACACCACGAGTGGTGGAATCACTGCACAAGAGATACGCCCAGAAACTGCCTCACCCACAGTCCCGTATGTGGGAGACACACCAGGTGGGCTCTGAAAAACCCTGCAGTCCCTGACACGGAGAACACAGGGAGAAAGCACATAAAACCTTCTACATCATGTGGATTCCCGTGCAGGGGGCACACCCAGTGAGCACCTCCATCCCTCCACACCCTGGGGTGTCACACCTGTAGAAGAGGTGCCCAGAGTGTGCCAGGAATCCACTGGGCCCCCAAGGTGGTGCTCTACAGTCCCGGGCCCTGAGAACGCACCAATGGTGCCTTGAAAATTACCACGCCCTGCAACACCACACCTGCAGGCTCCAATCTCTACAGGAAAGCGCCTGACGACCCCTCAACACACGGGTCCATTGGCCTCACCAAAATACACCAACGCAATGGGAAAAACCACCAGAAAAAGTTGTGCTCCAGATGAAAGAGCCAGCATTCCACCGAACAAGGGCCAAAAGCCATTATCAATATCGGAGATGCAAGATGAAGGCATGGAAGAGTTACCAGACAAAAAATTTAAAAAAATAATGCTAAAATTTATCAGAGATGAGGACAGGAAGCGGGAAGACTTCCAGAACCGCATAATCGCTGAAATACAACAAATCAAAACCAAACTGGATGCCCAAAATAATAAAATTCAAAGCCTGATCAACAGAATAAATACGGCAGAGTAAAGGATCTCTGAAACAGAAGACACACAAAATGAAGGTGCCCAGCGAATTAAACAGCTGGAGACAAGCCTCAGCAAAACTAATAAAATGATGCAAGAGATGAAGGATTACCTTAGAAAATTTAATATTCGGATCATGGGCCTCCCCGAGGGAGTAGAAAGAGAATCAGGAATGCAAGCAGTGCTTGATGAAATTATACAGGAAAACTTCCAAAACACTTGGAACACGAATCCACCCCGTATACAGGATGGACAGAGAACTCCCAACAGACACGATCCAAAGAGATCTTCACCCAGACACACGGTGCTTAAGTTCTACTCCAATGAAGACAAAGAAGGAATCCTGAGACAAGTACGAAGTAGAGAAAAGATCACATACAGGGGAAAACCCATCAGAATCACTGCTGACTTCTCCGAAGAGACCCTACAAGCAAGGAGAGAATGGACAAAGATCTTCCAAGTCCTGAAACAAAACAACTGTCAACCAAGAATAATCTACCCAGCAAAGATCTCATTTGTATATGAGAACGAAATCAGATACTTCCATAGCAAAGAAAAACTAGAAGAATATGTCTACACAAAACCAGCTCTGCAAAGTCTCCTTAGAAATGCGCTAGTCCCGGAAAAAAAGGAGGCAAACCACAAACAAAGATGGCAAATAAGAAGGTCTCCAAACTAAAGCCCGAACATACAAGGCAATTACACAGACAACAACACACACACAACACAATCGCATGGCAGGGCAAAATTGCAACCTCTCAATTTTAACTCGCAACACAAATGGTCTAAATTCACCAATCAAACGACAGAGATTAATAGAATGGATCATCAAACAAGACCCAACCATCTGTTGCCTACAAGAAACACATCTAACCAGAAAGGATGCAAAGAAACTGAAAGTGAAGGGATGGAAAAAGATATTTCATGCCAATGGACGAGGAAAAAAAGCTGGGGTAGCTATCCTAATTTCAGACGAGATAGATTTCAATCTAACATCAAAAGAGAAAGGGAAGGCCATTTTATACTGGTGAAAGGAATGATCCATCAAGAAGCAATCACCATCATTAATGTTTAGGCACCAAATTCCAACACACCTAGTTATGTAAAGCAATTACTTACAGACTTAAGGGAAGACATAGATACCCGCACAATTCTTGTAGGCGATCACAACACGCCTCTAACAACAATGGACCGGTCTACGAAACAAAAACTCAACAAAGAAACAACAGAGCTCACACAAACAATAGAACAACTGGACTTCGTAGACATATATAGAACTTTTTATCCTAAGGCCACAGACTATACATTCTTCTCAGCGGTGCATGGCACCTTCTCCAGAATCGACCACATGATAGGACATAAAGCGAATCTAAACAACTCCCAAAACATTAGTATCATACCATGTACCATCTCAGACCACCATGGGATGAAACTTGAAATCCACAAGTCAAAACTCCCCAGGAAGTATAGGCACTCTTGGAATTTGAGCAATATGCTATTAAACGAACAATGGGTCAGAGAAGAAATTAAGGATGAGATCAAAAAATTTATGGAAACCAATGAAAACTCTGATACAACATTCCAAAACTTGTGGGACACCGCCAAAGCAGTGCTACGAGGTAGATTCATCGCAATCGGAACCCATGTCAAGGCCCAAGAAAGACGCCAAATACAGGAACTAACCACACACCTCCAGGAACTGGAAAAACAGCAGCAGAAGAGTCCCACACACAATAGGAAACAAGAAATCATCAAAACAAGGGAGGAGATAAACCAAATAGAAATCAAAAAAACTATACATAAAATCAACAAATCAAAAAGTTGGTTTTTTGAGAAACTAAATAAAATAGACACTCCACTGGCCCGATTGACCAAAAAAAAAAAAAAAAAAAACCAAGAGAAAGTGAGAATCAATAGCATTAAAGATGACAAAGGCAACATAACAACAGACACTGCAATCATTAAGAAAATAATTAGAAATTACTACAAAGAACTGTACTCCCACAAATTTGAGGATTACCAAGAAATAGAAAAGTTCTTGGACTCCCACCACTTACCAAAACTCAGTCCGGAGGCAACTGCAGAATTAAATAAACCCATAACCGAGGTAGAGATTGAAACAGTCATCAAGGATCTCCCAACGAAAAAAAGCCCAGGCCCAGACGGCTTCACTACAGAATTCTACAAAACATTCCGAACAGAACTAACCCCAATCCTCTACAAGCTCTTCAAAACAATAGAGGAGGAAGCAACCCTTCCAAACTCATTCTATGAAACCAACATCACCTTAATCCCAAAACCGGACAGAGAACCGTCAGAGAAGGAAAACTACAGACCTATTTCTCTGATGAACATTGATGCTAAAATTCTCAACAAAATCCTAGCCAATAGAATTCAAAAAATCATCAGACAGATCATTCATCCGGATCAAGTAGGATTCATCCAGGGAATGCAGGGATGGTTCAACATTCGGAAATCGATAAATGTTATAAACCACATCCAAAAACTGCAAAACAAGAACCACATAATAGTTTCAATAGATGCAGAAAAAGCTTTTGACAAAATCCAACACCTCTTCATGCTAAAAACTCTAGCCAAAGTAGGCATAGATGGGAAAATCCACAACATAATCAAAGCAATTTATGAAAAACCCAACGCCAGTATCATACTGAATGGAGAAAAGCTAGAACCCTTCCCACTGAGATCTGGAACAAGACAAGGATGCCCAGTATCACCACTGCTATTCAACATAGTCCTAGAGGTACTTGCAGAGGCCATAAGACAAGAAAAAGAAATCAAAGGCATGCGTATATGAAATGAAGAAGTCAAGCTTTCACTATATGCAGATGACATAATTCTATACATAGAAAAACCAGGAGACTCAATACAGAAACTACTAGAACTTATATGAGAGTTTGGCAGAGTGGCAGGGTACAAAATTAACGAACGAAAATCAACAGCCATAGTGTATGCAAATAACACCAGGATGGAATAAGATCTAACCAACAGGATACCATTAAAAACAGCAGAGAGAAAGTATGAAGTATTTGGGAATAAATCTAACCAAAAGCGTAGGAGACCTATTCGAAGAAAACTACAAACTATTTAAAAAGGAAATTGAACAAGACCTCAAAAGATGGAATAACATCCCATGCTCCTGGATAGGCAAAATCAATATCATTAAAATGTCTATACTACCACAAGCAATATACATTTTGCATCACACAATTCCAATCAAATTGCCCAAAACATTCTTCACAGAACTGGATACAATGATTCAAAAGTTCATCTGGAAACACAAAAAACCAAGAATAGCTAGAACCATCCTAAAGAATAAGAAGTTAGCAGGGGGAACACAATCCCGGACCTCTGGACATACTATAGAGCAGTGGTTATCAAAACAGCCTGGTACTGGCACAAAGACAGAAAGGAAGATTAATGGAATAGAATAGAAGCACCAAAAGGGAACCCACACAGATACAGCCAATTAATCTTTGACAAAAAGACCAATGACAGTTCAAGCAAGTGGGAAGGCCTCTTTAGTAAATGTTGTTGGGACAACTGGCTGATAGCCTGCAGAAACAAAAAGATAGACCCATATCTATCACCATACACTAAGATCCAATCTACATGGATAAAAGACCTAAACCTACATCCAGAAACCTTCAAACTCTTGGAAGATAATGTAGGAAATACCCTGCAAGACCTAGGAGTAGGTCCCGACTTTCTAAGAAGGACACCAAAAGCAATAGCAATTGAGAACAGAATAAACAAATGGGACCTCATCAAACTAAGAAGCTTCTGTACAGCAAGGGAAACAATCAACAAAGTAAAAAAACAACCCACAGAGTGGGAGAAGATCTTTGCACACGATATAGGCGATAGGGGCCTAATTTCCAGGATATACAAAGAACTTCAAAACAACCAAAAAACCAAAACAAACAAGCCACTCAAGAAATGGGCACAGGAAATGGGCAAACATTTCACAAAGGAACAAGTCCAAATGGCAAACAAACATATGAAAAAATGTTCCAGCTCCCTGGCAATAAGGGAAATCCAAATTAAAACATCGATGAGGTACCACCTAACACCAGTTAGACTGGCCCACATAAACAAGAACACCAATGATGCTTGCTGGCGAGGATGCGGGGAAAAGGGAACCCTACTCCAATGCTGGTGGAGCTGCAAATTGGTACAGCCTTTATGGAAATCAGTCTGGAGAACACTCAAACAACTCAAAATCTGCATATCATATGACCCAGCAATAGCACTCCTAGGAATATATCCAAAACACCTGTGTTACGACAAACCAACATGCATCCCTATGTTCATAGCAGCACAATCAGTAATTGCAAAAACATGGAAGCAACCGAAATGCCCATCAGCAGAAGATTGGATAAGAAAGCTTTGGTTCATCTACTCCATGGAATACTACTCAGCTATTAAAAAAAAACAAAATGCAGTTCTTTGTGGCTAAATGGGCCCAACTGGAAACTACAATGCTAAGGGAAATGAGTGAATCCCAAAAGATTAGATACCACATGTTTGCCTTGATTTAACTTGTAATTTTTGTTTGGTTGTTGGTTATTTTTTGAACCTGTCATTGATACTGTCTCAACCCATATGTTTCGAAGAATGGAACTTGCATTATTTTTAACATATTGTTTACCCAATACTATGTCAATTAATTCCATAATATTGTATATTGATACTGAGGTTTTGTTGGGGCTTTTAACTGACCGGGTATTTACTCTGTTAGCCCTATCTTCAGACCAGAGAAGGTCTCCCCCAGAGGCCACTGAACTTATCTGGACACTAAGACGCAGGACTTTATGCTAGGTATATGTTTGCAAGGAAGGAATCTCAACTGAACTTAAACTGTGGTTATGCAACAAGGTGGAGGAATCCACTATGGGGGGAGGGGTATGGGAGGGGTGGGGGGAATCCCCAGTGCCTATAAAACTGTATCACATAATACAATGTTAAGAACAATTAAAAAAATCATACCTACTTAAAAATTTTTAAAAATAAATTATACAACTATCCTACTATCAAGTGATGTCATTAAAATCTTCTTTTCTACCAGGAAAAAAAAAATTTGGTCTGTATTGCCAATAGACCGTTTTATTTATTTATTTAGAAAATGTTATCCACACAGGACCAGAAAAAAAAATGCTTGACTTATCCCAGTCTATCTCATGTCTTATTATTCTCTCTTCATTACAACATCCTCATCACCATCTCAGTTGGTTGATTTGAGGAGAAAGCTTCTCTGACACATATGCACAGTGCAACTAGTACACCACTTGCATAATATGGAATAGCCTTGTCCTTGAGAGAAATACATTGTATTCTACTTAAAAAATGTGAAAGACTAAGTGTAAAATACCAACGATTTATTGTATGAACCCTAAGGATGATTCATCAAAATATATGGAGTTAAATTAAGGGGACAAGAATGGTATACAGATAAACTTTTGACATCCTGAATGCAGCCCAAGGATGAACAGCACCTGGGAGCTCATTAAAAATGCAATTTTTCCTGCAACAATTATGCAAGACAACATGGAAGTTCCTCAAATTCAGAAAATAGGTCTATGTATGACACAGCCATTCCTGCATCAGAGCTTCCTATACATTCTTGGTTACCTTTGTAGGAATCAACTTCTTTGGAATTCTGGGAGTTAATCATCAGTTGCAGTAAATCCACTCGATGCTGAAAGATAATGGTCAAAGATAATACAACCCTATGTCAGAAGTCCATGAGGAGCTCAGCACTTCAGCTGCTCTCTGAGGAGACCCCACTGAAACCCAGAGGTCTGACTGGAGTGGCCTGAGTCATCATCTCAATACCATGCCTCAAAATGATCATACAGGTACAGCCCCCAAACAAGGGACAAACAGAACATCCTCATGCAAATAACATCAGATTTACCTTTTTCTTGTCTTTGAGGTGATCTTCTTTAATCTTTTCAATGGAGGTTTTCAAAAAATCTATAACATCTCTGGGATACCTACTGATATTCAATGCTTCATATATTGGGATGAGGAAAGGAAAGAGTGCTATAGGAAAAAGAAAAAAAAAATAAAGAAATCCTAATGTAAAGCAAAATTTATGTGGCACAAATACAATTTCCCTATCAGAGGAGTAAAAGTCCTTGGGTTCTCAACAGGAAACCATACCTTCAGCATTTTTTTTTAGACTTCCTAGCAAACTCTGAGTAATAATGACACAACCACACACAGAGGCCATTACAAGAATGGAACATCAATGGTCTTTCATTAATTTTAGTAATCACAAAGGCACTGGGCTGAAACTCACCAGAGAGAATGGCACCAGTGACTGCAAATGAAGAACAGGGTATTGAACACATTTCTTAAAATGAATTGTAGACCTATGGTGATAAAGCTTAGAAACCAGCCTAAGAGAAATCTAACCAGAAGTACAATGACCAAGAGCAAAATAAAAGACAGGCTCAATGAATATTACTATTGCCTTCCTCCCAAAGATGCAAAAACCTTTTTCAGCCATAAAGTAAACTGAGGAATACATTGAAGTAATGGGGGATGTGGGCTTGGTGGGTGCATAGCAATAGTGGGGCATGTGTGGACCTGAGAGCTCACATCTAAGCAGGTAAGCAAACCTGGGGAATTCCCCATGTGCTTGTTGTTGGGTGAGGTGAGAAGATGGAGAAGCAGAGCCCCAGGACAGTATGCTGCCCTGGTGTGCTGGTGGACCAGGCCTGGAGAATTTCAATAGGCCTGGATCTTGGGTGCATGGAAGGTTAAAGCAACAGGTTAGCAAATTTACCAGGATATTGGACTCTGGTGGGAAGGCAGAGGTCTGGACCAGTAAACCAATGACTATGCTTGCAAAGACTAGGCTCAAGAACCCATTCACTATTGGACACAAGGATTGTGGATTCATTAGGAAAGGGAGTGAGGGGCTATGGGTTAGGGATGACAGCTCAGGGAGTGTTTTGCAAACAATTATTCCTGGTTAACTCCCATCAACCAGGCCACTGTGCTTGAGAGTAAGCAAGCAACCTGAGAGCTGGCGGTATGGAAGGGAGATGTCAGAGAGCATTTATGCATCTGACCAATGTACTCCAAAATGGAAACCTTGAGTTGGACAGGTTAGCTTGAAACTCTGCTAACCATCACAAACCCACACAAAACACAAAAGCTAGGGGCATACCTGGCAGGATTAGGTCAGAGTGTCCAACAGTGTGGGTCAGCATAGGGGACAAGTAATGTTAAGCTTGCCCATGATACTAATGAACACACAAGAGAACCAAGCCCAGGGTAGGATTCTGTGGAGAATATATGGGCCTAATCCTATGGAATCACAAGTCTTACTGGATAGCTTAAGGGTGGGTGGTGATGTGCTGAACTAGGCATGACCATGGAACCTGTTGAAATGCACGGGTACTGGGGCTGGGACCAGACTGGGCAGAATCAGGTTGCAGCACCTGTATGTACACCTTAAATCAGAGTATGGGACAGACTAGGCCAACATATTAACTGGCTCATACATAGGCTTGGTGAAAGGGCACGCTATGAGGTATGGATATACCCCAGTTGGCATATGTGAGATCTATATCTGGGACTGAACCAGGTAAGCGAACTTTCGACACTTCTCTGGTTGGCCATAGTTCCTGTTGGTGAACTATGGTTCAGTCCTGGATAATGAACAGGCTTGACAACGTAGCTCCACTTACTGGCAAGTGTGTGTTGGCTTTGGAAGGGGGTGGAATGGCAAAGCCAAGCAAACCTTAGCACACTAGCACTTGCAGAAACCATGCTGAAGTGGAGATTATGCCAGGTTTGGCTCTCATATTTAACAGTTGGTATGAGGCAGATAGGGGAGGAGCTATGCCAAACTGGGGCAGTGCAACCACTGGCATGTGTGTAATCTTTGGCTAAAAACAGGGCTGGTTGAGGATTTTAGGGGAAACACAAGCTGGGTGGGGGTTTCAACTGATGAGTGTGTAGATGGGGGGGAGGGTCTATGATCTCCTCTAGACATGGCTGCAAAGTACGTTAAGATGGGTGTGAGCTGGGTATGGGGTGTGATATACCAGGCTACAATCCAGCAGCTACCACCTATCATGTGAACTAAGGTGGGTGAAGAAAAGGCTGGGCTAGGTCTCTGACCCTGCTGGGCCATGTGTAAGCTGTGCCTTGGTGTGGACCAGGCTTTACTGAGTTGAAACCTCCAACAATAAGAACCCAAATGTGTGAGGGCTGGTTAGGAGAAGACACTGTTCCTGCTAGGTCTGGATATGGGTCATGGTGGCTGGGCATTGACCCAGCAGTGTGTGAGAAATCTGGCACTGGGATAGTTTCTGATGGAGGAGTTAGGGAAACTGCTCTGTTGGTATATAGTCACTGCAGGTGAGTGCAAGAACCAAGGCAGGTAACAGCCCAGATCATGCCAGGTTACAGTACCCACCAGCAAATGTTTGGCTCAAGTCTGGGGCAAGCCAGGATGGGTCAGTTCATATCACCCATTGGCCAATCTGAGCACCACAATGCAGTGTAGGTTGGGTAGAGCTGAGCCACAATACCAACCAGTTCACATTAGGGCCAGGACTGGGGGCGCCTTGGGCTGGGGTAGGCTATAGCCTACTCCACTGAGAGCTGGAACTGGAGATAAGCATTGCTGAGCCAGGCTAGAGCACCCACCGGCAAATGCCAATGGGATGGGCCCATGCTAGATTGGGATGAAGCACCCAACCAGCACACATGAGACCCAGATGGGAGAGGTGTAAGCACAGTAGGAGAACACTTATTAACCTGCATATGAACTGGTTTAGGGGAAAACCAGGCTTGGCTAACTCTATCCATTTATACATGCTTAAGCCAGAGTGGTTGCAGGTTGGTTGGGCTTTTCTGCAGAATCAGCTGTCAGGTGCTGGCAACAGGGGTGAATTCTGTCAAGCTAAACTGCAGAACCACTGGAGAATTGAAGATCTGGGAGTGGGAGTGGGTGCAAAGGAGAAACATTGAGAACCTCCCTTCTGGGTCACCACTCCCACTGAAGGGCATGTAAAACGGCAAGCATGGCTAGACAGAGAATGGAAACCACCAGCATGTGTTTCGGCTTGATAGTGGGCTGGTGTGAATGAATCAGGCTTCAGGACCAATTGAGATGTATGAAAGCTGAACAGGGTGTGGGATAAACTGGTCCATTTACTACTTTTACTGGCAAGCAAAGGCACCAGGCCAGGGGGCAGGCCTGCTGTGGATTGTTCGGTGTTGTTTTGACTACGTTGCAGCTCTGCTGCTTTGCATGAAGGATGAATATGGAGTGGGCAGGATCAGGTTGGGCTGAAACACCCATTTGTTTGCATAGGAAATGAGGCTGGTGAAAGAACTGACTCAGCATTTGCAATCACCAATTTGCATGTGGGCTGATTTGGAAGTTGGATTGTGCCTGACCCTGTATTGGCAAGCAAACCCAAGAATCAGATCCAAGATCACCTCAGATACTGCTGGTTTGGGGATCCCCACACATGACTACTACACTTATAATTCCAAACAAAGGGAGAATTGTAGGCTCCATGGTCTGAACATGGAGGGCATATGCCAGAGCTGGGTTTCCTCAGTCGATTAGATGGAACAGTAAACAGCATATCCAGATACACATGGAGAATATGGCAGTGCATTGGAGTCTTCAGAGGGTACCTGGTACCACAAAATAAAATGGAGGACAGAAACAAATTGATCAACTACCCTAGCTAAGTGTTGGAAGTGAATATCTGGGCAAACTTTAAATCATTGTCAACCAGAGAGCTCTGAAGGGATATCATTGTGCTTGAAGTGGCAAGATCGGCAGTAATTCAAACTTACTGAGCTCTCAAAACCACTGAAACAGGACCCTAAGAGCATGCCTTACATCATGGATTCTGGGATGGCATTGTGCCCATCTCCCATTCCAGAGAACAGAGGTGGTTGAGGGGATGTGTGTGGCTTCTCCCCTTATTTCCCCCTTCACCCGGAAAAAGAAGCAAAAATGAGATTTTGGAATTAATGAGCTCAGTCACGTTCCTCTAGCCCTTGCCCATTTTTCCATAATCAATAATGTACAAATAATCAAAAATTTCCAAAAATCCTTTTAAATACTTGTTATAAAACTACTTAAAAACAATGAGAAACACACACAGGAGTCTAAGGAATTTAAAGAACGTATCACACATCATATACCAACACTGAAATAAATTCAAGTCAATAATTACAAATAAAAGGCACAATGGAGCAAATTAAAAATTAATTGGCACCCTCAAAGAAGAAAGAAATCTCAGAGTTGGAAGACATAATTTTCAAAAATGGAAGAAAAACTGCAAGTCTGGAAGAGGACTCAAGTTAACAAAGCCATTTAAGAATTAAGGGACAGTATTGCAAATCCAAATATAAGAATTATGCGAGTTTCAAAAGAGACAGAAAAAGAAGCAAGGCTTTAAAAAGGTGTGCAATAAAATAAGAAATCAAAACTTACCCAAATTGGGGGAAGAATGGGGGAAAATATAAAATTGGGGGCAGAGAACTTCCAAAAGGTTTTACCAATGAAATCCTTGCTATGACATGAAAGCCAAGATCACTTAGCTAAATAAAAACAAGGAAGATACCCTTAAAAGTGCACTTGAAGACAATCAGGTAATTTATTGAGAACTGAGTGACATGTTATGTATAATAAAAGATAATCGATGTCAGACCAAAAGAAATTTCCCAACAAAGCTTTCCTTTGCCTTTGAAAATAAAGTAAGAATTTTCACATAAAAGAAAATCTCAAAAAATGTCCTCTTCAGAATTGCACCACAAATGATACTTCAAGATGTTCTCTTGACATAGAAGAGGAATAGCACCCAACAAAGCAAATACAGACCTGGAGAATGTCCCAGGAAAAGGACAACAGAAGAATAAAGGAAGAACAACACATTGCTAAAATATTAGGACCATAGTGTACGCAAATAACACCAGGATGGAATAAGATCTAACCAACAGGATACCATTAAAAACAGCAGAGAGAAGTATGAAGTATTTGGGAATAAATCTAACCA